GATGCCTTCGGGCGTCGCATAGCCTCTAGAAGAAGAAGAAGAGAACTCCATAGAACGTTCCCAAGATGTCAGCATGACTTGAAACGGCGAGAGCCTCCTGGTACAGTGCCTGTGGAGAGGGATAGAGTGGGTTGCTCGGGGGTTTCAGTTGATGTGTGGAGAACATGCCGCAACATGCCACCTCCGATGCAGGCTTGGGACTCTTGCTCTGGCATAGTTTCACAGCTAGCTGGAGGTAGAGGATTGCCACTCTATCAAGGGACCGGAGCTACTGGATTACAATCCTTGGACTCGCTAGTTACGACTCGAGACGCATGGACCGTGCTTGGGCTTGGGGTTGCACCCCGGCTGCCCTGCAAGGGGGGAGCATAGCCCGAAGAAGAAGAAGAACTCCATAGATGGCCGGTGGTAGAGGAGAGAGAGGGAAGCTCTGGCCTCAGAATACCGACTTTGGGACCGTACGGACATTCCAGCTCGGAATGACCACCTCCCATGTACCCTCTAAGTGAGAATCCTTCTGCTACGGACTCAGGAAACATGCGGAGTGATCGCACTTTAGAAAATTTATTCGATAGGCGCTTGTGCTTGTTTTATATCTGCATTGTGCCTTCCGTTGGCATGTGTTTTGCAGGCTGTGAAAATCCACTCAGTCGCATCGCGGGAGCTTTGTTTGGACAGACTAGCGCAGCTGGACGTGAGAAGCGCAGAAGCATCTTTTCCAGCAGACAAGGATTTGACAGCTTCTTTGAGAGTGAGTGTCTTTTCGCCTGTTGACCAGAGAGGAGGGACATTCTGACCAGGAGCTTGTGCTCAACAAGATCGAGGATGTTGACGCCTTTAACTTGTGCCTCCAAGACTTGATGTTGCATCGTTTAGAGTCGTTTCTACAAACTAGCCGAGCCCGATCTGTCGCGGCCCTTTTCGACGAAGTGGTCCTGGCAGTGGTTAACGTGGCTGTTTGAGGATGTAGCGGCGAGCGTAGTCCTCTAGAAAATGAGATGCTTGCGTCGACCACTCAAGCCTGCCTAAGGCAGGTTTTTTCTGAAGCAAGCATTTGCATGATGCTGGGCGGATACAGCCCTTAGCGCTTGGACTTGGCACCGAGCAAACAGCGTGCGCTTTGCTGGGGGCATCTCCATGGCTGGAGTTCATGGCTGAGTGCATCAAGGTAGTCATGGGTGCATGCCATCCCAGCATCCCAGGTTCCAGGCCGTTCCGCGAACCCGGCGATGCCCGCGCCTTGAACAGCTGCAGTCTGCTGCGCTGTTCGCAATCTATGCCGCTAACTGCGGCTCCCCCATGGAAAGCAATCACTGTCACAGTCCACGAAAGCGATAGTAACACGTACCACCGTGGTCCGCAGAGCTTGTGTGTTCAACCCTCGGCATACCTGGCTCGGCTAACAGTTTAGCTTAACCCAATCCGTTGGCACGTTTGCAGGAAGTCGTAGTCCCAATCTGGCATTCAGGCATGCAAGCTACGATTCAAGTATACCAATATGTCCCCTGCCAAGTGCCTGGAGCATCATCAAGCCCAGCATTCTGACCAGGGGTCTGCTTAGATTTCGTCATCGATTAGCAGCTTAGCATGGGACGGAGCTGGCTTGGGCGCCCTGCGGCTGGTTCGCGGGGAAAGGCCAAAGCTGACGTACACATAGATTTCACGGAGAACGACTTGAAAAATGGGGTCTTTCCATCAGGCCAGCGGGGAATGATTGTAATTACAACTGTTACTCAGATCTAAGCACATTTTTGTGTGGACGTTATGCTGTGCTCAAGAGAAGGTTCATCGTTGCTAGCACTGCTAGCATCCTCATTCCATGGCATGACGGAAACATTATGTCTGCTGTGCCTGGTAAATGCCACAGACAGAGAACCCAACTTCGCCTTGCCTGTGCCGGCGCAGATGTGCTGCTAAGAGCGAGCGCAGGTCCTTGTGATGTTCTGCTGCAGGTTGGAGCCAGACGTTCGGCTCCTGGCCACGATGAGGCGCAGTCGTCTGTACCCATGGTAGCTCTAAGCACACCTTCCTTGGCATGACAACATTCTTCGTTTGAAGAATCAGGATGTGCTTTTGTTTCTGTGTATGTTTCGCAGGTGGCACATGATCCACCCTCTGTCCAGCTTCGGATGGCAGAGCTTGAGACGTGCTGCCCAGAATTGGCAATGGTTGTCTCGGAGTTTCACGAGGACAGTTAAGACCAAACGCGCGCTCTGACTGGAGCCACTTCCTTCTTTGTAGCCTATGGAGGAACTGACACACACAGATGGCTTCACCAACGATGCCTCCTGGTGGAGACACATTGAAGCTCGCTTTGGTCTTCGCTGCCTCCTCCTTCGGCTTGAGGATGCCTTTTTTAAGCAGCATTTCTTGCCTTAATCCAGCTTGATCCGCACGGGCCCCTTGCGGTACTGCCATTCTTTTGATCAATTCTTGCAGAGAGTCCAGCATGCAGTTCCTATGTTTGCCTTCACGTGGTTCAAGAATCGAACGGCCAGAGCCACCAAGTGCCCGCAAGCCTGAAGCTCGAAACAATGCTGTTTGGGACTCTTTCAGGTTTCAGATCTCTGCCTCCAACCATAATGCAGTTATGACTTCATGGCTTTCCCAGATGGATATTGTATCTGATGCGCGGCCTTTTTTGTAAAGGCTTGCCGATTGTCTTAGAATGGCCCTGATGACCCTGATGAGTCTTTGAGTTCTCAAGAACCTATGGTAATGACTGGCTTCTGGGGAGGCACCCCAGCCCCAGAAGCAACCCCAAGAGGAGGGACTGGAAGCCGCGGCCGTGCGCTTTGATCGAGAGTCAGGCAGCTGGGACGGGTGGGGCATCCCGTGATTCTTTTTCTGTCCTTCTCGGTGGCACTGTGCCCTGGCACCAGTTGGGAAGAGCTCTGGTTGATTCAGGGCTCGTTCGTGAATCAAAGAATGGAGTTAGTTGCGGTCTGTGCTTGAAAGGTGGAGCACCGGACGAGTCCTGGAGAAAGGTGCGCGAGCTCAGAAGCGTGCTTGGCATCCAGTCTTTGCATCCCAATTTTGTTCCCGGGATACCATGGCCGTGTCAATCCAAGAGTAAGGCTGGCACAGTTTGCAGTTGGCAGTTTTCCCCACAGACAGCTGCAGCCCCTAGAATTCCAGTAGCTTCCTAGCTCATATGCCTGGTTCTTTTGTGATTGTTGAGCTGTCGTCAATTTTGACACAGAGCTGCACGGCTCTTCAGCCAGTAGAAGCAGAGGAAGCAGGCTGGTGCTGCAGGTGGAGCTGATGGAGCGGCTCTTGAAGGCTTTTGAGCAGACCACAGAACCCCGCCTGGCCAAGTCAGCCTGGACCCCGGTGAAGCCAGCGTGGCCATGCGGGGCCATCTCAGCCAGGGGCAATGACAGTGACAGTGCCTGCTCCGAAGAGGCGCAGACGCCCCGTGGAGTCCAAGTGGAGCGACGCTACGGATTGAAAGACAGCGAGGTGGAGCTTCTCCGGCTTCTCGCGGGGATCTTAGCTTGACCTAGTGTGCGTGGATGCCCAAATCCTTGAACCTTAAATCTTCAACCTCCCAGGCCCTAGAACACAACAGTTAAGTAACCCAGATCCCTGGAACTGAAAACTACAACCTCCCAGGCTTCAGAAGACAACAAGTTAAGTAACCCAGGTCCCTGGACCTTAAAACTTCAACTTTCCAGACCCCAAAACAAACCACTCAAGCAACCCTATAGCCTAAATCCTAGACC